CCTGGCGTGGATGCCTCCAGAGCTGGGAGATGAGTTCATAGTCATAGCTTAGTGGCTTCTCATGTCCCTATTATAGGTTAAAGAGCTCTAGTCCTTGGGAATGGGATGTGTACACATGATAATAAGCTTTAGCTCAACCTGGTGTGGTAGTTCAGTTTGTGTGTCAACTTGGCTGGGCCTGGTTGGTAGCTGGGCAGCTGGATGTAGTATTCCCCTTGATGAGACTGGTAATCAACTCCACGGTGGAATCTACTGTGAGCAGCTGAGTAGCTGCCTTAGAGAATGTCTGCTTCCTGTAAATAAGCAGAAGCCTTGATAAATGTCTCTAGCCTATGGCACGACCCTGCATGTAGCCATGTTGTTACTCAGCAGCCTGCTATGTTCTGCCAACCTTGGGACTTACAATGGACTTAAGTTAATGGCCTGCCATGTGGTGTGGTAACATTGGGACTGTGCCTTTTTACTTGTCAACCTTGGGGCTTCTCAGCCTCAGCAGCCAGCAGCTGTCTGGGTGAAGAAACACCTCTAGCTCCAGTGGGCTGGGAGCAGGAGGCAGAGCTGGACCCCAAGGTTGAGGGGCTTTCACCCAGCCCTTAGAGCTGGCACTTTGAACTTGGACTTAAAGCCTCCAAACCATAAGAGAATAAACTCCTGCTTGTTAAGGCCATGCCATTTGTGGTATGTTTCCTGTCAGAGCAGCACTAAGGAACCAGGACACTGTGTTAAGTGTGGATTTACCCACTAGAGGAGGGCGGACTTTTGGAGTCTTCTGAAACTCTGTTTGTTCCCTCCCCATGGGTAAGTGACTGAACCCTTTCTTCTCTCTTCTCTTGGAGCGATGGAGTTGGCTTTGCATCACTCCAGACAGGGGCCCACATTTTGGAGTAACAATATGACCTAGCTCCAGGGCTTAGGGTCAGAGGAAGAAGTGGTGTATGTGCAGCTGAGTGGAACAGACCTGCACTGGATTGAATTTATTACAAATTGTTGATATCCTCACTCGTAACAGACATTCAGTATTTGAATGGAGGCTGTGTGGCGTGGGATGAGCCCGGTTATTCAGTGAAGATAAAAGCACATTTGGTTTGAAAAAGCGTAGGAGTCTCCGTGGACCTCACAAGGACAACCTGGGGTGTGGGAAGAACCAATGTGACATCTCAAGTTCGGGGCAGAAAGAAGTGTAGAGAAATAAAGGTATAGCACCGGGCAAGTCGCCTGCAAAGGACCTCTTTCAAGTGCTGAGGACCAAGGATGTCTCCTTGAGGACTAATGTGCACCTGACACAAGCCATGATATTTTCAATCGTCTCATATGCATGTGAGAGCTGGACGATGAATACGGAAGACCAAAGAAGAGTTGATGCTTTTGAGTTGAGGTGCTGGAGAAGAATGCTGAGAGTACCATGGACTGCTAAAAGAACTAACAGATCTGTCCTGGAGGAAGTGCAGCCAGAATGCTCCTTGGAAGCGAGAATGGCGAGACTTCATGTCACCTACTTTGGTCATGTGGTCAGAAGGGACCATTCCCTGGAGAAGGATGTCATGCTTAGTAAGGTGGAGGGTCGACGAAAGAGGGGAAGGCCTTCGACGAGATGGATTGACACAGTGGCTGCGATGATGGGCTCAAGTATAGCAGGGATCGCGGAGCCGTCGCGGGACTGGGCAGTGTTTCGTTCTGCTGTGCATGGGGTCGCTATGAGTCGGAGGTGACTCCACAGCACCCAACAACAACAAAGGTTGGCTACCTTCTCCACCTGGTACCTACTTCCTCCCAGGTCAGGATGCCCCCACCATGAATAAACCCCAAAACAACCCACCTGCCATGACCAGCAGCAGCAGCACCATCAGAAGAGTTGGGAAAAGCAACCTTACCCTGCAGCTTAAAGACATTTGTCATCAAGGGTTTTTGCCAGGTATCTTCTCTTGGTCCTATGACTTTTGTCACCCTATGATACACAGCACCCGCCCAGGAGTCCTCATGGAACGGGGCTCCCAAAGGTAGCCATCACTTTTACACGTGTCTTGTCTTCTCCCAGCATGTGTCAGCTGGTCAGAGAGAGGGCCACATCATAGGCAGTTCAGTTACGTTAACAAGGGAGGAGAAGACAGCAGGCGTCCTTAAAGAGCAAGTTCTCCCAGAGGCTCCAGGCCACTGTTAGGAAGTGCAGGGGCTGGAGGAGGGGAGATCCAGGCCTGCGGCCTACAGGCCTCTTCTGGTTAAATGTTTCCTACTTTTCGGACCTCCCCGACACTGGGGCTGGGTTTGGAGTACAAGCACCCTCACCAAAACCCTGGGAGCCAAAGGCCCTCCCTGCCGATCCGTGTAGAGCCCTACTGCTGTGCTTGGAGGCGCTCAAACCCTATAACCTCTGGCAGTGGTTATTCCCATCATAGCTCCTTTTCCAGAGAGCAGGAAGCTCTCAGAATCCTGCCTGACCTCCTACCCAAGCATCTGTTGTGTGAGCTGGTCCTGCCCAAGGGAGAAGAGCGCCCTCTACAAGTTCTCAGTCCTATGGAAACAGGAGCCCTCCGTCCTACCATCAGTTTCTGAGGAAAGAGATAGGGTGTGGTCAGTGCTCCAACAAAGCACCAAACAAAGTAACAGTAATCAATCAGGAGCCTCTAGGAGGGAGCAGTGGACCCTTCTTAGGCAAAGACACAGAAAGCAGAGGGTGTTTCCCGGAGCCAAGGAGCGGCAAATGTGAGTAAGACAAAAGGGACCAGGGTAGTCCAATGAGGCAGGCAGGAACCAGACAGCGGCCTTGAACGGCAGACCAGCGGGCATAGATTTTATCCTGAGGGTAGTGAGGCATCTAAGCACATCCTTCAGGCTACGGTGTGGAGATGCTTCAGAAAAGGGCAGGACCGGACAGGCAGGTCCCCAGGAGGCTGGACAAGTGTCCAGGCTGGGCAGGCCGCAAGGAGGCTGGGCAGGCGTCCAGGCTGGAGGATGAGGCCTGAACAGGACCCAGCACCAGGGTGGAAGGCCAGGCCGGTTTGAAGGGCACTGCAGAGGTAAGATCAACACTATGTGGAGACCTGTGGTCCCTTTCCCCCACCCAGAAGTCCAGGGTGGCCAGAAACATGAGTTTTCCTCCCTCTCCCCTCGCTCCTCCCCGGCCCTCACTGAGGATCCAGGATCCACTGGGAAATGGAAAGGAAACAGGACGTTCTATTCCAGTGAGTCACCAGGCCCCTGACTTTCAGACCGGTTCCCCGCCCTGGCCCCATAGCCTCCCTGGCCCCGGCCTCTCCCCTCCACCTCCCACCCCGGCTCACAGGCACAGGCCTGGGAACAAGAGTTCTTCCCTGGCTGTGGGACACCGCCGGCCACTGGTGGGGCAGCGGGAGTGCAGCTCTGGGCTTTGGCGAGGAGTCTGTAATGAGTTCCATTTTAGGGAAGGAGACTGAGACCCTGAGGAGGCAGGGGTCCCCCCCCCCCCCCCCCC